ACATGGGATGTAAGTTTAGAAAATTGTATATCACAGAACAGCGAACAAAAAAATATTGAATGGATGTTAAAATCCTCACACCTCTTGAGTATCTGGTTTTGTACATTTCATTGTCAAAGGTCTTGATGAGGGCCTCCTTCCACTTGCTACGACAGTCCAAGAACATTTCCTTCAGCCTCTGGTTTTCTGTATTCTGTTCCTTGTTATCTTCAATTGACATGATTGGTGTAAATCCTGAAAGTTCCCTCGATATTTGTTCCTCAAAGAGCTCTTGAAGTCTGGATTCATCTAGTTCTCTTTCAAGTTTACCAGGGACACTTTTCAGTTTAATATCCAAGTTGTCCCTGTCAGAATACCACAATTTTAACAGAGATGGGTATCTGATCTGATTATGTGCTTCCTTAACAACTGGTTGGAAGTGAGGATCCACAAGTTTTATTGCATTAGAAACTCCCTTGGCCTGAGGTTCTGTCAGGCAGCATTTTATGAATATATTGTTGACATCAAATTCCTGTGGACAACACAAAGTATCTAAGTCACAAATGCTAGTAATAAATCAATCCCAAGCAATCAACCCTACAGCCCAGCTTTTGTTGTCATCTATCATAATTGAAATTGGTGTTTAAAAGCAGAGAAACACAAATAACATAACATTATGTAGAAACAACCTCTTGAACCCTCCAAAATACCATGCACTGTAGCATAAGTATTTGGTAAGTACTAATTTTTACAGATGTTTTGAGTAATCCTAATTCCACAGAAGTTCCTGCACGAAAAAACCCCGCAAAGTAAAACGATTAAAAAATTTTCCATGTATCTTCAATCCAACAAAATAAATAAATAAATAAAAAAAACTGGATGGGAATTAGGTGCCAAAATGCAATCTTCCTTTTCAAATTTACATAAGTATTATAGAATTGTCATGACCAAATTCCTACAAATGTACATGCAAGTGAACAGTGCTATTAACCCTTCCATTTCCAAGATCTCATGTTGTTACTTCACAGATTTTGGTATTGGATCAATTGATAATCCTCTCACTGATATTTTTCTCTATTCTTATCACATGTCTGTTTGATATTGTATTATTGTTGCGAAGAAATTCTGTCTTGGTAATTCATGTGAGTTAATAGGCTAACACCTATAAAAAATAATGCACAGGTATTGTACTAACGAATGTGAATACATGAAATCATATATGTGAACTGTGGTTTTTAAGAAATGAAGATGAAAGTGATCTTTGCAGTTATGAACACTACTTATAAACAGTAATTGTAAAAATAAAAGTCAAAAACAATTTATCCCATACAGGCCTGAAGTTTTTCTTAAGGCCTTATTTTTACTACTGCTTAAATAGTCTTCATTACTGCGAAGATCACTTTCATATTCAGGTATTGCACTGTTTGACTGAAGACACATGTACATGTAAGTACAAGTTGTATTCATTTGCTAACCTTTTGTTTCATTTCATCAAGAATTGTTTGCACTCCTTCTTTATTGCCATATTTTCCATAGCCATGTAGTAATGCAGCATATGTTCCCATGTCAGGTTCTAGTCCTTCAGTGTTCAATAAATTCCACAAAAACTTGATGCTCATGATGTTGCCTTTCTGAGCCCAACCATGAAGCAATTTGTTGAAAGTGTCAACTTCAAACCGTTTACCCATTCGCAAATATCTGTTGAACAACTTTTCAGCTTCCTTAGGCTAGGGAGTGAAAAGAGCACTGATCAGTACATCCAAGTATATTGAAACCTTCAAAACATTTTATGCCAAAAAAAAAATGATATACCAGTATGTAGATTGTGTAGTTTGCTGTGATATTTTTCATCTTACCTCAAATTGACGTTTAGAAATGATCAGTATGCACATTTTAAGGCCCCCTTCGACACATTAATTCTAGCTGACCAACCAGTCAATTTGAAAACATATACAGACTGTACAATTTTTAATTCCACTAAAACAGTAGCCACAATTTTGAAATCATGGATCTGATTAGAAATACACATGTAGTATAATTGCAGTATATGATCCCACATCAGGTTTGTGTCCTTTGTTATTCAACAAACCACATGAAAAATTGATTTTTACACACAGTACATAATGTTTCTAACTGTTCTCAAATGAAACAGAATGTTGATTAAAATTAGAAGGAGACACCCTTGGTTAAAACAGAGGGCAAGCAGTATCAGAGGGTGAGTGGTCTAAAAGTAATGACAGTCAAGTCTACTCTCAAGCTCGAAGGCCAACACTGTATGGGTTTACTCCAGTTTACTCTGAGGTGCAAAACAGAAAAGGGTTTTGCTATTCTCCCTGGATAGGATGCCAGTGAATCTTAAAGTAGCCAACATATCGTTAGAGGTTTTCCTAACAAGTCCCTAGCATCCATAAACTGAATACTTCTTGGTGGAAACAGGTACCGTAGGACTAAAGAATCTTTCCCACAAATACTGAACCATGAAATAAAAACATGATGTTGACCCACTCCTTCCAAACTCAGGTGCCACGCAAAGTAACTGTCAGATCCCTGAGTCTCCATCAAGAAGAATTACAAATTCAAACTCTGGTTGACAACTTACTTTTCCAAGGTAAAGGTATGCATCCATTTCAGCCAAAGTCTCCTCTTTGAACAATCTTCCTCCTGGAGTTCCATCTTTGTATTTTGCAGGTCCTTCGAAATATTCTCCAGGTGCATTTCCACAGAGAGGTTTTGCCATATCCCCTTGTATTTCCACATTGCATACATGCTGATCAACGCTGCCGTCAATGTCCTCAAATTTACTTTGTTCATGGAAATGTTCCTCTGCTTCAATTAAAACAACCTCTGGACTATAATCTAAAGAGTGAGTTTCATTATCATTAATTACGCCACTCACTCGAGAGGTTGTCGTTTCCATAATTTTTTTTGATGGATCAGATTTCTTCTTTGCTTTTGTATTGTTTGTTCCACTGAGCTGTCCTTTTCTATTTGTAACTGACACTTGATCCACTTTCTTTTTAGTGTCAAAGTCATCTTTACTCACATTTGGCCAAACAATATCAGTGCTTTGTCTTCTTGATTTTGCTTTGCTACTCTCCATTCCCTTTATTTTCTTCATTACAGGTAATGTTAATTTTGAAGCTGAACTCAGCTGATTTTTCACTTCATTACTGATTTCTTTGATAATGTTCTCATCTCCATTTGATTTCACAGTGTCATTCACTATTTTTATTGCCTCACTTTTCTTCACATTCTTTTTTTTTGTGTTATTTCCTGTGGCTTTAATTTTCTTCTTTGTGTGTGTTGGCTTGTTGTCAGTTGAAGACTCATAATTTGTAACCTGGATGGCATTTTGTTGTTGAAGAGGATATGCTTGAGTAGTAAACAGGCAAGTAAGCAGCTGATTACTTGACCTTGGCCCTAACAAGGTTTTCTTCAAGTTCCTCTTAGCTGCATTTAACAACATTAGACAGAGAAAGGTTAAAATGTACCAAACATAATACCACATCATACAAGTACAGATATACATATTGATTAATGTATTTTGCACTTGAGGAACTAAGGACCTCTATAGGACACTGTTGTTAGAGATGTACAATAATGTATGCGTAGTTGGTTTAAATGCCGATATTATCGTTAGCCAGCACATTATTAACAAAAGTGCTATTTAAATTCATGTAATAACAAACCAATGTAGTTATGAATTACAACCACTTCACACTAAAATTAAACCCGGAGACAGAAGTAAATCTTCGCATCTAAAAAGACATACATGTAATCATAGCGTAATTGCAAAGTAAGTGGTGTACATGTCACGATCGAACTAACACGTGTGACTGACACGATATTATGCATATTCTGATTAAATTCTGCTGTGATACAAATTCAATTTGCTTAGCTCCACGAAAGTCTCCATTTCGTAATCGTTTAATTCACATTGCTTCGATTGGCACAAACTAGTCAGTAGTAGTAATGTAATGCACAACCAAGCTGCCAACACGTGAGGGTTGAAACACAAGAGTATTCCAGTCTACATAATTCTTACCTAAACACGTAGGCGCAAACTCTACGTTGTGATGTAGTAAAAAACAAGAGCTGAAGGAACTTCTTCCTGTCAATAAACGCTCCAAGGAATAACCTGCACCAAAAACTGGCCGATGTCGACGGCAAATCTGCAAAAACGCCATATTCACTCGCCATTTTCCATTCTGAGTCCGCAACAGCGATCAGTTGGGTATCAAAGTAATAGATAAGTACGTCATGTACGAGAACGCACGCAATCCCGGTGACTGTAAGTACATATGGCTAAGTATTTGTCGAATCGAGGAGGAACCCCAGAAGTACAGGACAATTTTATAAGAAAATTTTCGTAGCGCTACAAATTATGCAGCTGGCTTGTGCGAGTTAATTTTGCAAAACCGCTTTGAAAATGATAAAATAACTTCAACCCTGGTCTACCCCCCATAGGATTGCCCGTTAGCTAGATAGAAGTGCTCGGAGTTGGATTTGGTTGGTTGGTTGGTTAGTTCGATTTAAAGATTTTTTCCCTAAGAATCCAATGTTACTTTCTAACTAAATCAAAGCTGCCACCACTTCTTTTTCTCTTCTCTAAATTTTGCGTCCACTCAATAGACAATCAAGCACATTTGTTATGAACAGCTGTACTGCTGCGTTGAACCGTTTGGAAAGTTCCAGGGAGATTTACAGAGTAAATCAAAGCAATTTGCACGGTTGTTTCGAATGTCCAAAGTAATCTGGGTTAAAGTGGTTTTATTTGACTTTGCTTTCCGATTGGTCTAGAAAACTCGTGCCGCCCTCTCAACCAATCAGATGCTTAACCAAAACCAACCGCGAATTAGTCACTCGCATTTTCTCGCCCTCCAGGAAGCTTACCTTTGCAAATTTCCTCTGTTCTGGTTGGGGGTTGTGACTACTCGATCGAACTGCTCTCTGCTACTGACAAAAATATTTGAAAAGGCGAGGCAGACTTTTAAAACCCCAGACAAACGCCTACTTAAAAGTGTGCTTGTCGTTCTTCTTTTATTTGGCCTAAATACTTGCACTACATAATCTTCAACACACCCACAGACGTAAAAAATAAAGCTGAAACAATTCGTTTTTGAAACATGTTTACAACTCTAAAAACGAACACGTGTACATTAAAATAGGTACAGTTTATTTATACTAACACAAACAAAAGTAGAAAGCATCTCTACAATTTCCAATCCAACTTTTCACGCATTTCGCTCAATTTTCTATGGAACGTTCTTCATAGTGAAGGATGGGTATCCAATTATTCGTTAACAAATATATTGAGTCAAAGAACTACAATAAAGTTAATAACTAGAGATGCAAATTTATTGGAAACAGACTGGGCCGAGCTCGAATTTGACTGGCTTCTGTTGTGTGGTGGAAATGTCCTTCAAAGGAAGTAGGTCTTTTTGGTCGATGGAATGAACTTCGTTCTGGCCGCTCTGAAAATAAAAAAATTAATGTATTGAGATCTCGGATATCACAAACCGTCTAGGGCCCGCTTCCCCAGGAGTGAATTTTACCCCGGATATCTTAGAAACTTCGTTTCTTCGAGTCCTAATGAAATCAAGCCCAGGCCCACTTTCTCGAGAGTAAATTTTAACCTCAACATTTTGGTATCTCCGTTCTTTCGAGTCCTAGATATATCACACTTGAGCTGCTCCCCCGGGTGTGGATTTTACCCCGGATATCACTTCGAGTCCTAAATATTTGGACCCGCTTCTCAGAGGGAAAATTTTACCCTAGATATCTTTATATCTCCTTTCTCTCGATAGATATAATACACTTGGGCCTGCTTTCCCGGGAGGCCTTTTAAGGCTGGTTATTTACCATCTTTCCGCAGGTTCAAGCTAACAGGATTTTTCTTAAAACGGTTAACATAGCAAGCAGAGTAAACTGGTGTCTTCTCTTACCGACAATAAAGTGTATCTATAAATAAATATTTTTTTACCGTGCATTTAGGGTGATCTGTTGTGATCTTTTGTCCGTTAAAAGTCGATATGGTCAGGTCATCGGCATTGCTAAGGCATTCATGTGAGATGTCTTGGACACCTTGCTTGCTCAGAAGTTTAAGGAACTTGAACTGTGTTGGACTTGCCTCGTAGGAGAACTAAAAAATCCGGAGTAAACAGACAGACAGACAGAGAGTCAGTCAATCAAAATTTGACGGTACAACGGGTAGGCCGGCAGCAAACAGGCAAAACATTTTAAACCGCACAAAGTATTTTCCTCAGGAACTGTTCACTAAATTTTAAGGTTAATAGGTTACCATGCTCTTGTATTGATAAAACGCGTAAATACCTTGAGGATCTCTCTTGAATTGTCACCCTGAAATTATAAGAGGGCATGTCAGGTTTTACCTTACCCCACTTCTAACGAGAAAAAAGCATGTAACGAACAAACTTACCAAAGATTAAACAGGCAAAAAAAAAAGACAAACAAACAGAAGAAGAAATAAACAAAAGTAACTGCGCGCCGTGATAACGTGTTCTTTCCCCATGAATGTCGTAATACCAAAACCTATATTCTCGCATTCGTTACTCACTGACCGATTTCACTCTCCTGTCACATTTCGCTGGGAAGACTAAGTTTCAAAGTTAACTGAAAAAATTGTTATCCTTTGAAGTTGCCCGACTAACAAATAAGACATTTCAACAATGTCAACCCTAAAAAGAGTTTTTGGGCTTCACATACATAATAGAAAGAATTTGTTTCTTCTTTCGGGTCCGGTGGAATTGCGTCTAGTCCTTTTAAAATACCAGAGAGCAGAAAACTTCAGTGATTCTTACCTGCAGCTGATTTGGGTATATACATGTTTGTCCTCCAGCAGAGAATTTACATTCCGCTTGGAAGGCATCTTCTGCACAGCCACCGTTAGGGTCTAGCCAGTAATTACCTGGAATAAAAATTAAAGACATGGTCACGAAGTTAC